GCAATTGATGATAACTTTACAAAACCAGGCTTTGTATTAATGACAAAAGTACTGCCATGATTTTTTTTCCAAAAAGAGGTTGATAAAACCATGAGTTTCACAGTCTGTGTTAATTCTTAATTTATTTCAGTTGGTCTTACACATTTAATGTTTGGTCTTGATGATTTACAAGGTACACAGGTTTATCTTTAAACATCCAAAGGGTAAAACAGAGAGAAATGAAGGAATTCTTGCTTCTCTGAGACACAGGTTGTCTTTGCATTGCTTTTATCTTTTTATGTGATGGAGAATTGAATTTGGCCTCAGTGAAAATAGTTATCCTGTAAGAATTACTGGGTTTGGATATAACCTTACAGATTAAAATTAGCACCCTCTCTGTTAATTATTTTTCATCTATTCTGTTGGTTTTATTTTTTCTCTCTTCTGAGTTTATATTTGATCCAAAGAAACCCTTAGAATTAAATTAGTGTTAACTGACCCCTTATATTATAGAAATGGCTGTCATGAAGTAGCCATGTAGAGTAGTAATAAGAAAAGAGTTACTCTGTCTTTTCCAATGTACATTGGAAACTTTGAGTGCTTTAACTTAACAACGGAAAGATTTTTTTTTTTTAATGAGGATTTTTCCTAGTAGAAGAACAATGCAAATCTACTTCTGTCTAGAGATGACTGTGAAAAGTTTCATTACAGAAAAACCTGAGACATCCTTTCAGGGGATGTGCACTTGCTGACCTGGTTTCTTTTGCTGTTCTGGCTGTAAGGTTTGGAAGAAATGATCACAGACACATGGAAAATGAACTTGATGTGCAAGTGTCTCTAATGTTTATTGGGCATATCTGTTTATAATCTTTTCACTTTTAAGGTTTATATTGCTCAGAGAAAAAAAATCACAATTGGGTCAATAGCAACTGTACATTTGGAGCACTGTAAAACTCTGCTTTTAATCATGAAGTAATTGCAAGAAACAAACATTTATAAGTAAGCTTGGAGTGATTTCTCTTTCATTGATATGCCTTTTGATGTATCTGACCTCCCTTATGAAGAAAATATCTGAGTATCCCTTGTTATGTTCCATCTATTATGACTAATTTCTGCTGTTTGAGTTCAGCATCCATGCTGCTTATTCAAAAGCTTTGGTATTTTGGCAGCAAAATCTGAACTATCTCTGCAGGTTCAAATCTCGGCCACCAACCCACCAGCCTAAACTATACGGGATTCTGTGCAGTGTTAAATTTTCAATAGGAACAAGACTGCAAAAGGACTCAGTTTTCCTTCCCCTCACAGCTTTCTGGAGGGTCTGATAACCACTTCTCAAATTTCAGTCTTTAGTTTAAAGTTACCTCCAGCTGCTGTTCTTGTGAAACAGTGGAAGTCAGGAGAACACTCTGACATTTCATTTAAAACATAATCTTTCAATGCTCAGGTGCTTGTACACACCATACCACTCTCTAATCATTCAGGTTTTTATAAATACTAATATTTCTAATCAGTTTGTGGTTCCAGCTTATTGAAACTTTCTCTTCTTCCTTTATTTAAACATCATCTACTGATGCCACCACACGCTTTTACCTATTTTCTTAGAGACTGATATATGGAAGAAAATAATCTCTTTTAAGTGTAAGAAATATAAGGCAATCAAAAGTCTTAATCTCCTCCTTATGTGCAGGGACTCTGAAGGGTGGAAACTCTTGTTCTGAGGAAACAATCTTATCAGTGGTCAAGATTTGGCTTTATCTGCTTGCGTAGCTTCATTACAAAGTTAAGGAAGTGTTGTGCTTTCCTTCTAAATGTTAATTTAAAAGGGTCATAGGAGTCTGTCACAAATATTACTTTTATTCCCTTGAAGATCACCATCAAATGTAAATATTTTTGGAAAACATTTTCCATGAAAAAGTCTCTACCACAGAAACATTTTTTTTTAATCATAAATTTTAATTTTCTCCAATCAGATTTAACTTGAATAGTTATATTTGGTTCGATTACATGGTGGTAGAATTCTGCAGAGACTGCTACTGGTTCTCTAATCACTGCATACTCTGCTTTCAGGGAGAATTTGGTCCAAGTCATTCAGGGGTGTATTGTTTTCTCTGCTGTCCCCAGTTCTGCAAGTACAGTTTCCCTCACTCCATTGACAACAATGAAGCATGTGAAAGGAAAGGCCTGTGGAGTAGAAAAGATTTCATTAATCATGAATCATTACATTTGTCAGTTGGCAAAGGGAGACTTCCTCATTTATCCCTTGAATGAAATTAGGTCTGGCCTAGCTGCAGTAAGAAATTCAAAATTACCTTGGCATCTCTGTTGCTGTTTATATGTGCACCATAAAATGGCAGATGGCATTTTATTAATAGCAGATGAGCTGAGCCTTTCAAGCTACCTTTTTTCTGAGATTTGGTTTCTTTGAATTTAAAATGATACCTACCTACATAATTTTGTGGTGCTTCTGTATAATTTCCTTATTTTAAAAAAATGATTAATGTGGTTTTAAGTGCACCTGCCACTCTCCTCCCACATCTGAGGTGGCTAATAAAAACCATAATAAAGATGAAGCTTGAAGAATTCATAGTTTTTACTTTCTCTATACTTTCTTTTCTTTCTGGAGGTAGCTGAAAACGGGGAGAAACTGATTTGATACACAAATTCTGGTTTTTATTGTAGATCTAAGTTTAACCACTACCTTAGTAAAAGCATTGCAAAATATTACTGATGTTTCCAGGTTGTTCTCTTTGGAAAACCTGAATGTCAACCAAATTAAGCACATGGTGGGAATCTTACATCCATAGTATTTTCTTTTTTTTTTTTTTTTTTTCCATCTCTCTTGCTTAATATGCACCCAGCAGACACTTCTAAAGGAACAGGCCATGCATACAAAAATATATACATTAGTTTTGAATGACAACCACTTAGGATTTACTCACTGGAGGGACTACCACTAGTCATAAGTAGTTACATCCACTAGATGAAGTCAAATCTGTCCCTGTGATAGCCACATCAAATTCTGTACAAGACAAATTCCCCCTCCCACAGGCAGGTTATTGACACTAGAAGCTGTAGTGTCCTTTTTTCCACAGCATATATTTGTAGTGATGTTAACTGAAAATCTTATTTTTCCCTAGGCCTGCTATAGATGTTCTCAATTCTACCCATATCTGGAAGGTCCTTATGTTGCATGAGTGAGGAAATTTTGTGTTGATTTTTTTTCAGATTTCCAGTTTGATACTGCTTTGAAAAGTAAAGAGGAAGTTCTGCAAATATCTTTATTTTCCCCTTGCTATTCCTATAGCAGCTCAGATAGAACTTGTCTATTCCAGGTCTCAAAAATCAGGAATTATATTTCTTTGAAATGAAGAGCTCTGTGTTATCCAAAGTCCTGAAAAGAAAATAAACCCCCAATCCTTAGGGGAAATGTGTGAAGAAATTCTTGAAAAGGGGTGAACTTGAAAAGAAAAATAATTACAGTATTTCGTTCAGCATATTCGACCATATTTAGTGTGTATTTGTTAAGACAGATGGAGTTCAGGGAGAAATACATGTGAAAATCTATTGTTACATCTGAGTCAAAATTGAGTGTGCAAAGTGACCAGCACACCTTGGAAATGTTGCTCTTGTATCTGGTAATATTTCCTAAAAATAGAAGGCATTTAAAGTCAGTAGAGTCAAAGACTCCTAGGACTTTATTGCACTGAAGGAAAGCAAACCAACTTTATTTACAATGAAATGGGGAAAAGACCCCAAACAGCCATTACCTTTCAGAATGCTGAATGCTTCAGAATGTGAGATTTGCCTAAGAAATCTCTTTTCTTCATTATCAATATTTTCCATATTTTTCTACCATAGAAAGAGGCAGGCCAGCCACTTCCGACATGTTTTGGATAATAAAATAAAAACTAGTTAAGATTCTGTAAGATATTTTCTTGTCTAAAGGAAATCCTACATTTATAAAGGAATAGCTTGACTGTGCCGATCTTCCCTTCTAATATTGTTGGATTAACTAGTGTTAAAACTAGTTTTTCTGGTTAAAACATTGTTTTTCTGTTTTTTTTTTATCACCATCTCATTTTCCTCTTGTGGGTGAAATCTATTCCTATTAAGTGACCCGTTATTTTGAATTAATATTTTATTGTCTACACACTGCTTTCAGGCTGTCTGCCAAAACTATAAGGTACCATCCTATATCTTAAAAGTGCTTTAAGTAATTGATTTTTTTTGGGTCATTAACAAACTAATAAGCAGACTATTTAACATTGATGCTAAATGTGAATTGTCAATGACAGCAGCCAGTGGTATCCTGCTGACAAGTGATAATGTCATTTCAACTGTCCTCAGAGCATGGTAATTACTGCTCTATTCATGGATGTATATGGCTCGATGTTTACCTGATTTGAATATGAAAAGCTTCCTGAAAACTTCATACATGGTCTCTGCATGCTGAATGCACTGGATGAAACAGATTAGGCCTAACAATCTGCAGAAAACAATTAATTCAGATCCCTGAGCTGACCTGAGGCTGCCTATTGTGGTCTCCAGACAGCATCAGCATTGGTCTGCATTGTTAAAACGTTGCTCTGGATTCTGTGTCTCAAAGATGAAATTGATATTGAGCAGGAATGGCAAAAGAAATTAGGCAGTACATAGATGGCAAAGTGACCAATAACCCCTTGTTATTTCCCTCACACTATAGAAACACACCTGATGGTCAAAAATCTGTTGTTTTAAAAAACTGTTTCAAAATATGCACATGAAAGTCAGCATTTCTCATTTTGGTGCTAGATAATTACTAGTTACATACCAGTGTTGGCTCTATTAAGCCAGAAGAAAATATTTCAAATGGTTTTTAAACAAGGACAGAAATAACAGGGCTGCCAACTCTGGCATTCAAATTTTAGCAGACAGGGGTTGGGAGGACTCTGAGGCCTTGGGATCTGTAGGAATGAAACATGGATGCAGTACGATTACTTTTTTATCATTCTGGATTTATTTTTTGCATCATTCTGGAGTGATGGAATTTCTTGTAGCTTCTCCATGGCAGCTATTAGAAATGCTTCAGGCTGTACAAATGCAACTGTTACTAGCTTTGCTCAGTTTCTGATGCAGACCTGATGGAGAGACAATAAAAACATGTCATCCAAAATATATGTGACTGACTTTAAGATAAATTCCCAAAACTCTCAAAGCCTTTTGAATGTTGAAATAATCAGAACTTTCCTAAGCAAATAAGGAAACAGCAGAAATTAAATCAATTACAGTCCGTATCCTATTTTTGCCTCACCAGGAAAAAAAAAAAAGGCCTGAGGAAGCAGATTAAAATCTAGTAAACATCAATTTATTTTTTAATTGCATTCAGAAAGGATGCCTTAGAAACAGATCTAATTTGCTTCCTTGGAAAGCTGTTCAAAGCTCATTACCTAGTGCTTATATACCTTCTTTTAATTTCTGTTTTGAATATGCTCATGGCATCCTTTGTTCTTGTGTTGGCTTTGTCATTTTACACCCTGACTTTATTATACTCCTTACTCTGCTCTTATTATCCATAGAGAAAGAAGTCCCATTCCTTGTCAGCTTTTCACAGAGCTGAACAAACCAGCTCGTTTCACCTCTTCACACAAAAATCAGCTCAGCCTTTCCCTTCAGCTTTTGCCCTCCCTGTGCATGGCTGGCTGTGATTTATCTCTCCTAGGCCCTAGGATTGCTTTCAGTTCCTCCTCAGACATGTCACGCTCCTGGTTCATAATGCCATGTGATTGAGGAGCATGCACAGCCTTGTCTGCATTGTTTTGTGCTGATGGCCAAATTTGTTGGTCCCCAAAGGCACAGCCCTTCACTTTGTTTTATGCAGTTTCTTTTATTCTCTTCCTTAAGACCACGTAGTGCTTCCTGCAGGCCCCTGGTAGATAGCATTTCCAAATGTGGAGATACTTGGTTAACATGTAATTAATGAGCTCAGCAAAATTTGTCCCCAGATTGCTCCATGAGGAGCTGCAGCTCCCTCCAGTCAGTAGCTCTTCCCTTTAACGTTATGGGGGGCACAATCCTCCTCTTGTTCTCTTGAATTCCAGCCTAGGAAGCAACTTTGATGTGCCAATAAGTCAAGAGGCTTTGCTAAATCCCAATAGAGGATCCCTTTGTTCTCTGCTCCTTCTAGGAAGCCAGGTATGCTATGAAAGAAAATATACAAGGTCAGGATCAAACTCTTTCTTTTAAATTTGGCTGTACTCTACCCTTTCTCCTTTAGGGCCTGAGCCAGAGTTTTATGTGTTATTAAAACTTCAGCCATCAAAGCATTTCCTTTCCAAAGTTACTGCATTTGCAGATTTCTAATTACAGGCAACTCCGTGCATTGTAATAGATTACTTAAACATCCTTGCTACTGTACATACAACTTCATGTGCAGCTTGTTCCAATCTTCTAGACTGGATATTTTCCAGTCCCTCTGGCTCACATCAAGCAATGCTGTTACCAGGTTGTATCTCTGTTTCCTCTTGATATTCTACTTTCTGCAGTCTGGCTGACTGCACTGATACTGGCTCTTCTTGCTTTGTTACATGTCCTGGTGTCCAAGGCAGCTTTGTCTGTGGAACTCTTCTCTTCCATTCTGTGTAGGGCCTCAGTTTGGTCCCAGCTTTCTTCTTGAGATTTGGAGTTTTTCCCGTGTTTCCCCAGTCCTTCCTCACTTTACAAATTCTTCATAATTGCAGCATCTTTACCTAAGGAGAACCAAATCCTTCTGGAGATTCATGTACCTCAACTACTCCAACCTGGATCCAGCTGAATTCGGAGCTTGGTTAATTTTTAGGCTTCTCTTTTCAGGACCACACGAAAAAAGTCTAATCTGATAATTTTTCTATTTAGGATGAATTAATTTGCAAGAGCTTCATTCAGGGTTATTCTATAAATCCTTAGAGAAAGTGCTCAGATACTTATCAAGACAAGATGTCATCTTTTCACACTTCTTTTTGGCAGAATATTTCCCAGCTGAGCTCTGCTTTTGTGGGCATGCATCTGGGGGAACTGAAAATTTCCTTTTGTGAGGCAGAACTTGGTGCTGTTCCTCTCTGCCACAACCTGTCCATATCCAAACCTGGCTCTAGCACAATTTGTTCCAGGTCTACCACAATGACACCACCATTATCAAAGTGCCCTTAATCTAAATGGATTATTTTATTCATTTTATTAAAAATGAATAAACTAGTAGGAAACTCAAGTTTAAACAAGAATGAGGTTTAAATTTTTTTTTTATTATTATTTCTGGACTTCATTTTAACTTTTATAATTCTATTTTACATAACTGCGTTTTTTGGCAGTGTTCTGAATTGCAAGTGATATTTGTCACTTCTAGATCACTGCATCATTTTCAAGAAAAAAAATCATTTTCATTTGCTTTTTATTTTTTTGGTTTTTATTTCCATAAAATATTTGTGGTTGCCAAAACAAGGCATTGTGAAAACAGGAGTTACAATTTCCTTCTCTACTTCTCTCTTCCTTTCTTCCCTCAGCCCTCAAGTCTGGACTCTGAGGAAAGAAAATGCTTCTTTGTACTCTATTTTTAGGTGGATGTATAGCCCATTATAATCTGATCCTATATGATGAGCCCATCTTCTGAGAGACTCTGTTTATTTCAGATGTCAGCTAATATTTTGTCCTGGCTCTTACTTAAGTCTCTGTCATTCTTCCTGTTATAGCAAGCCCAGTCACATATTTAAACACCAGATCTTCTGAGAGGAACATCTCCAGCAGTGGGATGTGCTAGCACACTCCAGTTATTTAAACATAACTGTAAAGGCCTCTTTCCTCTCAAAATTTGTTTAGTGGATCCAAAAAATTAGTATCTGATCTATTCTTTTATTAAGTAATGGAGAAAGGGACTGAAAAATCCTGCAGGTTAAGATGTGATTTCCACAGGAAAGAGAGGGGAGAGAAGGAAAGAATGAACAAAAAAAATAAGGATTTGAAGAACAGTGCACCAAAGTTTGTTCATAAGCAATTTTTTAAACAGTGAGAAATGCCTGGATTCCAGGTGTCATTATTACTGGCCCCTTTTCCAGATACTACTCTTAAGAGTCAGAGCTTACTTTTGGGGGCAGGAGGGAAAAAAAAGCCCCAAAACATCTCCTAAGGTTCTATCTGGCAAATAGCTCTATAATCCTGTTCCTGGTGAAACACAGATGGCCTTCCAGCAGCAATCCAGATGCTCTTGCAGGAAGCTCAGGCTCTCTGTGGAGCCATTTGGAGGGTATCCGTGGGTGCTGCTGCCTTGGAACAATGCAGAATTTCTTCTCTGAGAGATGAGCTGAAAAAAGCAGGAATCCATTCCTGTATGGATGGGGAATTAACTTCTGACATGAGAAATAAATTTTGTTCACACCTGGAGTGGTGGTTGGCTCCACCTATGCAAGAGCAGGATGATGCACGTGGATTTTGGGATATAGCCTTTGGTGTTGCAGGCACTCAGCAGCCAAAATAATGCATTAAAACATGGATTTTAGCCTGGTATTGTATCAGTTTGCACAGAGGCATCAGTTTATACTAAATATAATAAGTTACAGCCTATTGAAGAAAGCAGAGCTTAAATTTACAACATGGATAGCTAAAGGCATCTCTTGGAAAACACATGTAGGAAATATGCTCATTTTGCCCTGCATGCTAAAACACAGAAGGGAGTAAAAGAGCAAAGTAGGCAGATAATAGAATTCAGGATCATTGCTTCAATGAGACTACTAATAAGCATGAAATTGAACATCTGCTTAAGTGCATGTCTGGGTTATAGCAAAAAAGATAACTCTCATAATTGTACCCTGATATTTCCATAGCAGAGATTGGACTGGATGATAACCAGCATAATGCAAATACAAATGTTATACTCTGGAAGAAGCTGTACAATTTTTGTACCGTGATTGATAGGAATGAGAAAAAAAATTCAAGGGTCCTGTAGTGTACTTTTTTTTGAAGAAATACCTTTCAACATATTAAATATTTGGTGGAAATGCTATCATAAGCTGAATACTAAGAATTATAGAAAAAAAAATATCTAGTCCCATAGAAACTTGTGGTGGTGGTTGGTCTCTGAGTATTATTTTTTCCATGAAAGAAATCTTATGCTGCCAGTTTAGCGTCCAGGCTGCAGAAAATGTCTTCTACAACAAAGGAAATAATAATGATAACAGATCCAAATATTGTACAATTATGATTGCTTTTGCATTCATAAATGAAGAAATCTTTCAGATGAGACAAGATGCCAGGTAAGATTCTGTTGGTCAGAAGGGAAAGACCTGAATTGAAAATCAAAATGTTCTGGCAGAAAGAGATTTTGTGCATGGGAAAATGAAATGTCAGTGATGTGAAGCAACTCTGTAGGTAGCTTTAAATAATTTTTGCCTCAATATGCTGGTTTTGTATTAATCTCCTTAGATTGTCATGCTTTATAATTTGAATTTCAGGTCCTGAGATTCATGTAAATGAAGAATTCCTTACCTTTTTGGAACAACTTGGCTTGAAATTCCTTAGACTTGGTGACTACACTGAGTAGATAATGCAAGATTGGGTCTTTTATTTATTTTCTCCCAGTAGAATGCTACTAAAAAGGGCTGTGTCTGTGTGAGACCTCATTGTCATTCTGCCATGTATTGCTCTGGGGCAGCTGCTCTATTATAAGCCCACATAGTTATGAGTGAGAGACTGCAAATTTATTCTTCTAAGGAAGATGCATTGTTTGTGACAGATACAATTAATAACTGGCTTTTGAGATGAGATTTTTTGTCTGTTTGGTACGGGGGTTGTTTGTGTTTTCTTTTTTTTTTAATTGAAATGTTGGTTAAGGACTATGAAAATATTGTGTATTTTTATAGGAAGATATATGAGTTTTATCATGCAGTAGCCCTCAAACTTCTCAGAATGCTATGGAAAAATGTAGGAATGATACTGCATTATAAGAGTTTCTCTTAGTTAAAATAATCCAAATTCATCAAAATTAGTGATCTGGCATTGATTTTAACAACACACTATCTTCAATATACTTTTCTCATCTAGTTTTCATTTTTTAATAAAATTATTCTAATATAGTATTTGATGGTAAGGTAATCACTGGACACAATCAAAAGGAAAAACTATAATGTACAAATTAACATGCTCTGCTTGGGAAAGCAATATCTGCTAAATAACTATCCACAGGACCCAACAGAAGTGAATATTTCATTTACTAAGCACAGATAGAATCTTAGTTTGCACAGAAAAAATAATTTAAGCTCTGTTTACCACAGGTCTTGGCTATTAGTACATTGAAATGAATATTCAAAATGCTTCCAGGTAAAAAAAATTGTAAAAATCACGTGCTTCTATTTTAAGGAACAATTACTTTGAAGACTGAGTTGCCTCATTTTTTTGAGAGAAATAAATTCAAGAAATACAGGGTTAGGATCACCTGAGTTTATTGTAGTGTGGAAGTAAACTTATATGTTTTAATGCAGTTGTCATCAGATTAATTTCTTTGGCTCTTCTCTGGGCTTTCCTGACCTTCATCCAAAATCCAATTGCTTCTTTATCTCCTTGTGGTGGGGCTACCCTCAGGGCATGGAACAAAATGTGTGAAGTGGTATCCATAGAGACTCTTTTCATGGTGACCATCCTCTGCAAACTCAGATTCTGATTTTATGAGAGCAGTTAAAGGAAGACCCCAGATGCTCTCTGACCCTCTTAGGTGGCTTATGGGGTTTTAATAGGACAGCTGAGAATTAACTCCCCAGTAATCATCACAGGGACATTATGGAGTCAGAATCATGCAGGATTAGACCTTAGGTCACCTCACTATTGGTAATATTTCCTCTGAAGTGTCAGAGAAGTGATGGGAGTAACACTTGGGCATACTTCAGAGACAGGCTGCAGCTGCTCTCAAAAAGCTCTTTGTCATCACTGTAATCACCTCCAAAAGCTGAATGTTCCCCCAAGCTGTACCCTCTTCTTCCCAGGACTGTGATTTATTTGGGTTTTATCCAGGTTAAGTCTGATAATTGGCTATTTGTGGTGTGTTGGCCCTGCCTGGGCACCAAGTGCCCACCAAAGCCATGCTACCACTTCCCTCTTCAGATGGACAGTGGGAGAAAACATCACAAAATGCTTGTAGATCATGTTGTAAGGACCACGAAAGATCCCTCACCAGCTGCTATCATGGGCAAAACAGCCTTGCCTTGAGGAAATGAGTTAATTTTTTACAATCAAAGCAGAGTAAAGTAATGAGAAACAAAATCTTATAAACCTCTTCAGTCCTCCCTCCTTCGTTGCCTGGGAAGTGAGAAATTTCATGATGAAATCTTGATCTTCACTGTGTTTACCAAATTTTCTTTGTACCTTTATAAATGGAAGAATGTTTAAGTTTTCTCCCTGATGCAGCTGAGCAGGTCTGCTTGATCTCTGCTTCTGTCCTGAAGTTACTGAGATTAGCAGTGTTGAGAAGAGATGTATGTTACAAATTTATCTCACTACTGTGACAACAGATTTTGGTGTGGCTTTACAAAGCCAATTAAAGGATTTACAAGTTCTTTTTGCATTAAAACTTTGCTTTGCCTTGGCTTTCAGCTAGAAAAGCAGAAGGAAACCATGGGGTTTTTCCCATAGCTACTCCTAGATTAGACAGCCATGTAATTCAGTCTGCGTGGTTTACCTTGCTCAAATCTCCTAAAAGTTCCACAAAGCTGCAGCTTTTTGTGGGAGATGTCTCAAATCCATACCAGCCCTTATATTGCTGGAGAGGAAAAGGGGATGAAGAAAAAACTTCAGACCCATTCTGAGCCTTCCTTAAGTAAAGCTCTGACTTTGCAGCCTGTCCACCTCTAGGGATTTGTGTTGTGTGGGATAAACATCTCCTAAACCTCAATATTTGCAAAGACCTCATGATCTTACTTGCAATAAATTGCATTCCTTCTTCTTATTCCTTTCCTCCCTATTTAGAGCACAAGCTGAAGTCAGGTTCATGTTTAAAATAAATAACACAATTGTGACTACAGACAGTGTCCTGACACTGCTCAGTTAAACTGGGTGGTCTGGAGATGGACTGAGGACTTTCTGACATGATTTGAAATATGCAAGAAAGAGAATTCACAATCAGAAAGGCCCTGCTTCCATTTTTGCCCTTTGGAAAAGGTAATCAATCTCATGATGGCCTAAAAGGCACTAAAATTATTCTATTGAGCAAAAAGCTTCTTAAAATGCACCCTAACTCATGTTTTCTCCAGTCTATGGAAAAGGGAATAGCACAGACAAAGCATGGCTAACCTTGCCCACATTTGGGCAAAGTGAGTTTTTATCTCTCACATTATCAGCCTTCAACAACATCACAATGTGTGTAGAGGTTATTAATTTACCTTTTTAAAATGCTTTGGGTTTCTATAAACTTAAAAAGTCTCCTTTATCCACTGTATTATACTACCACCACCCCCAACTTATATAATTTTTCCCAACTAAATTTCTGCATGTCTTCTCAGGTAGAGTGCCTATTTAAATTCCCAGGGAAAATCTGCAATCTTGTGTTCATGGATGTGTGGAAAGCATACATTTATCACAATCAAAGAAGAGAGGGGAGGAAGGGAGGATATTGCCACTTTATTTTTTCTTCACCATTAACCTCTTAAGTCTTTAGTAAATTGGCTGTCCTTTAATCATGTCCTTAACAACCCCTGATGAGCTACTAATTGTATGTGCACTTGATCACTTGCAAAATCTCCCTGTACTCTTTTAGCTTCCTTTCTCTCAGATTATAGCAGCAAGAATTTATCTGGAAATACTTCATTATTTTAGTAGTTCTCATTAGGAATCCAAAGGTCATATCCCCAGACCAATATGAAACTGATTTTTCTATTTAGCCAAGGCAACTTCACTTAATTTAGCATCTCCCAAAGATGAAAATTTATTCCATTTCCTGTCTATTCTTTTTGTTCCCAAGAAGTTTTTATTTTTCTTCTGAAAACAGAAATAAATTAAGATAATAGCTGGCAAAGATTCATGTTTTTCTTCTTCTTCTTCTTCAGGTCTTCATATTCTATTTATGGAAATATTATTTTACATATTTTTTGTTTTTACTAAGAAAGAATAACATCTTATTACTCGTGCCTGGTTTGCCTAACCTTATGGAGATTATGGTAATTCCTCAAAGTTCATGTCAATAGAAACCACTGCTTAAAACAGCAGCTTTCTGCCTGCTCAGCTTCGTTCCAAAGACTCTTTTTTTTTTAAATTAGCAATTTAATAATACCCAGAGAAAAATTTCTATCAACTTTCATGGCCAACTGTTACCTCCGTATTTAATTGCTATCTAATATTTAATCAATTTCTGGTTTTCCCCTTTTACTTCCTCAGGACTAAAATGGAGCAAATCCAATTTATTCCCTCTTTAAGCAGCTCCTGTACTGCATTTTCAGTGCTGTGAAAAACAATGGTTTTTTATAATTTTTTTTAATCTTCTGCTTTGATAAATATATTATTTGACTTTTATCTACAATGAATTTATCCAGAGCTTTTTCAGTACAGGAATTTATACTATGTGTAAAAAGACGCCTGCCTGTGGTGCTGGTAGTTTGTGTTGTTCTATTTTCTAGATTCTCCTGAAAAAAACTACAAAAGAAGCAAAAGGAAAATCATGCTGATTTAGTGAGAGACAGCCAGAAATGGTTTGATATGAAAATTCATTTGATCTGCATCAAAACCCTGTCTGGATGAAAAGGATGTACTTTGTACACCACTAAAAGTAAGTTCCTTGTTGAATGTATTATTGCCTGCTGAGCCCATCAAATTGAATTAACACTCAGTGATCTGGTGAAAAATGGGGCCTGGATCAATTGTTTTGGGGCTGGCTGAAGGAAAAGTGATGTGCATTCCACCCACCTCACAAAAAATCAATGAGACGTAGCTGACTGTGCATGTGTTGTCATCAAAGCAGCTCAAATTCAGATTTGTGTTTGGTGTGCACGGAGGAATCAGCACCTACAGGACAATAACAGCTATTTTCAGCCAAGATTATCTGGTTCCATACCTGCTTCAGCCATGCAATCAGATCACCTGCTGCACAGTGTCCTGTGAAAATACATTGATAAATAATTTTTAAAGTTTTTGTAATTAGGAGTTTGTGTGGGTGATGTTCCATGAGTTTTGGCAGGAAGCACATTCTCACAAGTACCATTTGTCATACTCCAAGCTCTAAAATAGTCTTGAAAGCTCTCAAGAAATGAGAAAGGAGGAAATGAAGCAACAACACGAGACACAATTTGCAAAGAAATAGAAAATGCTTGAAAATTGAAAGTCAGATCTATCCATAACCTCAATGAAACTCTGAAACTATGACAACATTGTTTAACATTTCAGCTCGAATAATAAATAATTGTTTACAAAACCTGCTGGAAAAAACTCAAACCATCCCATCATCCTATATATGATAAATGCTTTCTTCAAAATCTCTGCATAAACAAGATATTTGCCATAATTTAGAGAGAAAAAAAAGTATTCCAGAAAAATGGATTATTCTTAAATTCGGCTGGGAATTTCCAATTTTTTAAATCTTCCTTTAAGCAACAGAAATTAATATTCTATACCTGCATCAGGAAAGTTTTCTTGTGTGTTCTTTCTTCAGTTTTCTCAGCAAGGTCTTGTATGAAGACATAATTTTGATAAAGAGTTATACAATTTAAGGGGTAAGCATTCAAAAATTTTATACTACAGAAATAATGTAATTATATAATGTATAAAGGTCTGGAGCAGACCTGCCATATTTTTTAAAGGTGTAGGAGTTACTGGTTTTGTAGGAGGAATAATCTCTTATTAGCCAATTAAACAAATGACTGATATTGAGTACACAAGGTACAAGCTCTCCTTTTTCACTGATGAGGGAAATACTTTATCACCCAATTGATTGTGACTGAATGGATGAGTTTGTGCATTGAGCAACTGCAAAAAGGAGGAAAGATGATTACACCACTTGAACCAGGCTCCATTTGCAAAAATCAATTCTACCACGAGGAAAAAAATATTTGCTGCTTTTTATCCTGGTGAAGGATTGATACTTAATATTGCAGAAAGCACCCAGCCCCTGGCTGGCACTCAGAAAATATGCTACATTTGCTTCAGCTGTTGTGCCATTCCAATATTGCATGTAAACAGAAAGAAATTATGCACATTAATTTCTTAGAGGTGAGAAATTGTAACACGGGGTGATGATTACTCTCTTAGTGTGTATTTATTTATTAGACATGTCAGAACGTACTTGTAAGTGATATCAGAAGGTAAAAATATTTTGTGTACCTCAAATCCAAGGCTGCTAAACCAGGCAGTGGATCTCCCTTTTTAAACTGGTTTTGGAGTCTACTGTAAGAAAATTTTCCTCAGTTATGCAACCTGTGGTCACGAATTGTAGCCTTGCTTGCTAAGATTTCAGTGATTTCTCTATTCTAGTGTTATACTCAATATTCAGTATTTTATCCTGCAGTAAATGCAAAGTAACTTAAATCTATTTTTGTTATAGTTAAGGGGAAGGGTGTTAAAATATACTTCTAGCATGATGATTGAAAAATCAGTTAATTAGGGAAGTCTGAACTCCTGTGCTTTAAAACCACTTGTTACTGACTAAAGTGTAATCAAATCAAAATTTTCAAGCCCCTCCATGCTATTAAGTGACCAAACACTGCAGAGAATGCAGGAGCCCTCCCTGTGCTTTTGCTCATTCGCGTCTCAGATAACCAAAAGAGTCATCACACCTATCCAGTCTTGTCAGAATCTGAGGTATTGATGATTCCGAGATTGTAGAAAGTCTCTGTCTCTCTGCCCCACTACCAAAAGAAGCCATAATTGGTCTGTGCTGGTTTCAGGGTTGTTTATTCTGTTTATCTCTCACATGTTCTGCTGCCCTGCCCAGCTCTGTCCTGCAGGGCAGCGTGTGGGGCTCTGCCCTCAGTGGGATGTTACAAACATTAAATACCAGAAACTCCCTGGGCTGGATTTACAATAATGTGCCAATATCTGTCACCTACGTTGAACAGTGTGTCCCCAGCCTAAGCCAATAGAAAAATGCCAACACTGCAGTGAAACATGGAGGGCATGAAGAAGGAGAAAAAGGACAAGACACACCCAATTTCCTCCATCTTGTCCCCTTTGGACCCCTCATCTAGAATCCTAAAATTTTACTTTTGCACCCGTGCCACACTTAATTATTACTCATATCAAACACTCAGAGCTTGTAATTGATCCTGTAAGATTGAAAACTCTTTTCCATGGACAGAGATCCCAGACAGTGTCTCTGGGGGCTCTGTCCAGGGGGTTCCTGACCCCCTGCCAGGGTCCCAGACCTTCCAGGGCAGCCAGAGGGAAGCCCTGGATTCCCACACAGTCTCTTCAAAACAAGCACACAAATCCCTCTCAGGCAGCAAACACACAGAACATTTCCCCTTTCTAGCTGAGCACTGAGCCATATCTTCACAGACACCTTGAGCCAGAAGGGGAGTTTCTGGTGTGTTAAAAGGCAGCAGAAGAGGCAGACCCAGCTTAGGACTGGCTCAACTTATTCCCTTTCAAATAGTTTTGATCCTCCTCTGACCTCACCCCTGACACAGGAGTGAGTTCAGTGGATATCTCTGAACTCTCCTCCTCCAGATGTAACAGCCAGCCTGGGTTTTCCTTCCATGCTTCCTCCAAAAATTAAACCCATCCCATTTTCCTAAGTACCAGCAGAAATAACTCTCCCTTCCACCTCTGGAGCTTAGAGCAACAAATAGGAGAGACAGAAAACCAAGTGGGAGAAAAAGAAAAGTCAGGAATACCTGAGGTGAGAAGATTTTTTTTTTCTTACCAGGAAAACCAGTGTTTTTCTACTGTAGGCAAGTTAAATGTATTTAATTGTGAAGCACTTAAGTAGTTATGTGTGCTTAGTGTATTTGAACTGGAAACTGCTATTATGCTTGGCCATAATGTAAAAGTAAATTCTAACTTTTTTTAATCCAGTAAAGCAGCTCGAGTTATTAATATTGGTCTTTATGGACCCCAGCAGAGGTGCGGAAATCTCATTAGGGATGTAAATGTCAGGTAGGACACTTAAAAACCTTGTTATGGAGAAGAACCCAAGTACCAAAAGTGACATAAATTACTGCCCAACCTGAATATTGCAGAAGCGTAATTCTGCAGAGCTCTGTTACGGGGTTTGAGTGGAAGGACAATTACTACCAGCTTTATCTTGTTATAATGAAGATGAAATGTACATTTAACTAGATTTGTGCTTAAACTGACTGACTAAAAGGTAAGTAATGTGGATAAAAGTAATAAGTCTCTTTAAATATTGAATAAGTCTATTAGGGCAATAAAAACTTTTGTAGGAGTTTTGTGTACTCTAATGGTTTATCTGTTCATAGTAATACTTCAGATTGGCATGTGGTAAAAAATTTCATAGATATGTCCGTTTCAAATCTGATATTTAGCATTACTCAGCAATAGCTCCTTTCCTAATATAAAGTTAGCTATTCATTCTGTTGGTCTCTGTATTTTTGGTTGTCTAACACTTCTCTTGGGATAGAAAAGGTGGGCTCTGCCTGGCAAGAGCATGAGCCAATATCAGGTGAGAGTCACAATGTCTTGTCACTGTGCAGAGGGTTGGGCTGGGACCGTCACACATCTTTAAGTGATTTCAAAGCCAAATGGGAAGAAATTAAATGTTAGTGTTGGAAGATGAACACTCATGACTTGTAGTAATGAAGCTTGCATGGTTTGGCTCAGGAGGAAAGATAAAATTAGGAATTCACAGAGGGTATGAGTTCAACAAAACTGCTTTTGGTTGCTCTGTACCTTTCAGCTGTGTCCTTGCTCTTTCTTTCTCTCATTTCACACCTCTCCCCATTATCAAGGAATCTTTGAGTACAGAACGATTGGCTCTTTGCTCTGATGCAAACAAAATTAAACAGGACTGCTTGTGGGTGATTAGTTTTGATCTTTATTTGATTTTTATTTAAATCTTTTTTGATCTTTATTTAAAACAACGCCAGAAGTCTGATCATGTCAGAGGCCAATCAGATTATGGGAGTTTATTTACTCCACCATATCAAGATTAGGCACAAAGTGAAAAGGAAGAACCAACCCAGGTTCAAGATTTCTGCCTAACAGAGGCATAAATATCCAGGAAGCATCCTTGCACCTTCAGCAGCTGAGCTGTTCTGTACAAACAGTGGCATGCATTTATTTTCTTTGTTTTTAACTCAGTGACAGAAAATCTGTCCAAACAAGACATAGTAAGTATATTAGGTGGGGGAGTTTGTGGGGGTTTTTTGAGTTTGTTTCTTTTAGTGTGTACGTGTTGTTGGTTTTGTGGGGTATTTTTAGAAAAGAAAGCAGAACCAACAGGAGATGTAAGTAATGAAGGTACTGGGTTGAGTTTGTTATACCCATAAAGCATAAATTACTCTCAATTTAGCTTTAAATATTCATTGGATTTGCTCATTCACTGCTGTCCATAAAAACCCATCACATTGTTTAGCACAATTAGGCTTGATTGTTTAAAGAGTCTGGACTGAAATAGCATTAATTAGCTATGTCATGCTATTATTCACTGTCCATAAACTTGCTGTTACCATTCAGATCATGCTTGGATTTACTGGCAGAGCAGAACCTGGAAAAACATAGCAGACAGTAGACTTTATAAAGCTGTTTTATTTTTTGCTGATTCAGTTTTCTGAGGGAGGACATATTGCAATGTTAGGAAAATATCTTTAACCTTAAAATGGAGAGAGAGATGGAGATGGGACCAGGTTTTATATCTTTTTGCTAACATGTAGCTTCATAATCAGGAAGCCTTTCTATTCTTCCTTTTTTAGTAGTCCATATTAAAATTTCAAACTTGACTTTCTGACTTGAGTTGGTCTTTGCCTTTTCCAAAGATCCCATAACAGCAATATACAGGCACAAGACTTACCTTCTTCTCACAGATGTTTTACGTTGCCTTGCTTTTACATTCACTTTTCCTTTTTAGCACTTACATGAGCACAGATACTCAGTCAACACAAAGTATATTAAATAAAGATTTTAATAAATATCTTAAATAAAGTTCATTGAAAGCAACACAGAGTCAAAGACAGAGAAACAATTGTCCCAGGCTGTGATTCAAGTCACTTTAGCAAAACCAAGGCTGCACAAAAATGCAAACATTTATGTTTATTTACACAAACAAGTGCCTGTTTGTGTACAGTATGATGTGTTTTTTAAAAAAAAATTAAATAAAAGGTATTTTTCTAGTTGTAAACCCCAGGCATTATGAGATTCCCTACCCTCATCTAATGGGAATATCTCTTTGTGCTTGGATGGAGCACCAGCTCGCTCCTTTGGTGTGAGCAATTACTGTCATAAGCCATAAATCTGCCTCAAGAAGTGACAGTTTAAGCTCAGGATTCTTAATGCTGGCTCTCTTAGAATAATGGTTGCTTAACATAACACTTGGAGCATTACCCATGTGGATCAAAAAGAGGGTTTTGAGTGAAAAAAAATTGTTCTGTCTTCCAGATGAGCCTTTGGCATTATGCTGCATATAAACTGCAGTTATTTCACTCAATACTGAAACTTCTACTGAGCTCATATCAGGGCTTCACTTAAAGACACCAAGAAGACAAGAAAGAAGGTGTGTTTTTAGTTAAGGCAGTCTTCTCCTCTC